CTTCCTAAGTGCCTTGTCCCAATGCGCGGGAATTCCCTTCTCAATGACCATGAAGCGTGCAACCGCATGCACAAGCATGTGGCGCATTGGGCTCCCTTCTTCTGTGTTTGCATACACATACTGCACTCTGCGCAAGCCCGGGTAGCTGTCAGAGTACTTGTACCATTCGCGCACAACTTGTAGAACGTCTGCGACTAAGTTGGGAATCTGGAACTTCTCCGCCATCAAGTACAGATCAAACATGAGCCCAAGATCAGCCTCTTCACGGGGGACAGGGAGCGAAGAACTGTACAGCCAACCGACAAAGGTCTTGAATGGCGCATCTTCTTCTTCTGGTAAACCGAAGGATTTGGTAGTCGTGTTCTTGGCGTAAAATACACGGCGGAAAAAGGGTGAGTGGTGGCACAGAAGCTTCTCGTGTAGGATCCAATGCGTATTCTCTGTGCCGATGTAGATGTCTACCATAGAGCGCGATAGAAGCCTGTGGTTGTTGTGTTAGAAGAATCATGATTCGTCATCCGTTGCAGTCGGTTAGCTTACTCGTTGAGCGGCTTTTCCGGTATGGTGCCTGACATAACGGTGGTGCGTGACGTGCGATCCGACCGTTGGTACTAACTGCAACTAAGCGTTGCGTCTAACTTGCAACGGTGAGCGACAATCGTCGATTTGTTCAAGCCAGTACAACAATGTTGACAATGAAGAAGATGGAATGCAAGATGTAGAGTGATAAAGTGCAGCAGTGCGCCTTCAAAAGCAGGCAAGAGGAGAGGCTGGGACAGAAGCTGCTTAGGTATGACGTCGACACTGACGAAGTTGTGTGCTACAGCGGCTCGATTTCTTGGATGGACCCCCTGTCACCCGTTGCATGAACCCAGTCTAGTTCACCCGCCATCAAGGATCCTGACGATCAGCATGGCCAATGTGCATGCGATTCCGCAGCTACAATGCAATTCTTGCCCTTTTCTGTCATTCCCGTAGGGGCGAGGCGTGATGGGAACACTTCAGCCAGTGGGGGCCATATTAGGTATGCCCACCCTCCACCCCCGAAACGAGTCTGCAAATTCAAGATGACCTCGATCATGACAAAGTCATATCACAAGATAGACAGACTTTCTAGTCCGATGATGAGCTTCATTGCGGCAAAGGTATCAGAATAATCTCACGCTGATGCCATCGCGGCTCGTCTCTCCTATGTTCGCAGCTATGTTACCAGCAACACATTCAAGCTTCACGTCGCTCTGCAGGCATGTTCCTGCGCTCTTTGGATGTGACCTTCTTGCGACGGCGCTCAATGACCTTGTCACGCTGCTTCGACTTCATGTTCTGGAAGCGGTCGATAAGGGCAAGTTTCTTTTGTTCGGCTGGTTGTGTGTCAGCTTACAGCAATCATTGAGGCATGTACTAATAGGCCACAGGAGTACATACACTTCTTCAAAAAGAACGGTTGTTTTCCTTGCTTAATCATTTCTTTCTCCTTCTTTTTATGATCGCGCACAACGTCTTGCTGTTTTTCCTTCGCTTCTCGCGTCTTTTGCTGGGATTCCATTGATAGTAACTTCTTCTTCAACCCTTCTTTTTCACCTTCATTCTTTGTTTTTTTAATAGTGCCCCGCAGTTCTGCAATTTCCGACACTCGGTAATCATTTAGAAATGAATACCGGTTGCCCAGTGTGTTGTCGTCAGGTGCTGCACCGCCCATGTGATCGAATCGGGGGTCTCGGAAAACTGGCTTCTTCACGTCGACTACCTGGCGTTTGCGCGACACCATGCGCTTGCTGGACTGCACCGCAGGAGCGTGCTTACTTGATCTTGCCTTGGGAGCACCATCAGAATCAGAGTCTTGGCTATCAACGTGCTTCTCGTTAGCCTCATCAGACTCATCATTGTGCATGACTTTGCTTTTCTTTGAACCAGGGGCCTTCTTGCTGGGCTTTGCGCCATTTGCCATCTTTTCGGCTTTGATCTGTCGTAGTCTCTCCCTCAGCGCTTCAAGTTTGTCTTCTTGTGATTTTGAAGCATCGTCGCCTCGTTTGCGCTTTCGGTTGGCTGACCGGTCTTTGGACATGACTTCTTGGGCTTTGGCTAGTGCGCCGAACGAGACTCTGCTCATCTGCGCCTGTACCTGATCATCATTGGTTGCGTCTGACTATTTACTCGTCAGTCACAATATATGGGGAAGTGGAAGCCACATAAACTAGCTCACCACTGCGTCGTCCTTATCCTCGTCTCCAGAGCTTATAATGTCGCCTCCAACACCGGTCTCAATGAGTGACGCCGACGAGGATCGGTCGGTGACTTCATAGTATTCTTCATCGCCTGAACTCTCCTCGACAGCCTTCAGTTTGCGATCTAGCTTGGTGGAGAGAGGCATGGTAGGAGTGGTATATACACGATGCCGTTTGATATCCTTGAATCTACTTGATGCACTGCACTCCAGAACTTTTTGGAAGCGCCCCACATGGTCGGCGCTTGTTTCTGCCGATGTGGCTGACAAAAGTTGCACATGCAGGCAGACACTGGCACGTGTTCTGGATTCGCGAACTTTGAGCCCCAAGTCTTCGTTACGGGCGGTCGTCGATGTTGCCTTGCACTTCCTCATTTCACTTCACCGGCTTCTTTTCACCAAACAGGGTCCTCGCTGCCAAGAATTTGCAGCCCTCTTCACTGCCCCATGTCTACACTCGTGTCAGCCCGGTACATACCCCACGACTCCCCAGTCGTAACTTCTGACACTAACCTTGACAAGACCGCACACGGTCGTCGAGACAGCACCTCACCTGAGAAGTCCTTCTACCCAGCCCTATCCGCCGACATGAACGACGACTTGAATCCGAACGCCAGGCCTTTCCAGCCTGGCGGCCGCGCGAACAATTTCTACCTCGACAATCACAGTCGCAACGAGAATCTACCACCACCACTACTGCCTCCTCCTCTTCCTCCTCCCCCTTCTGCTTTTGCTCCTCCCCCTCCCCCTCCTCCTCCTATGCCTCCATTTGGCCCTCCAGGCGCACCGTGGAATGTACCTTACCCACCCCCACCCCCACCACCGCAGTACTTCACCAGCAATCAATACGCCTATGGTAGGCAAGATACCCATCAACACATGCAGGCCCAAGACCAAACCCGGACACACCACCATCAGTGGCCACAAAGTTACGGGTATAATGGCCCCCCGGCGCAACTCTCACCTTATGGACAGCCGCCAATGTACCCTCAGCAGCACTATCCGCACCCTTACCAGCAGCAACACCACCGCCAGCCGCGTCAGCAAGGCTACCCACACCCAGCCCTTCCCTCGGCTATGCAGCAAGTGAATTGGCCTCAGGCTAGTATAAACGAGGAGCCACAGTATGCCTTCGATTTCCTAGCTCAGGGCCAAAAACCAAAGAAACGTGGCGCTAATTCACATGATAGGGTGCCTGCTCAACCTGCTAAAAAATCTAAAAAGGCCAAAGCTAAAGCCAAAGCTGCAGCCGCTCGCGAGGATGCGCAACAAGAGTATGGCTACCTCCGCAGAGCAGACCCGCTCCGTATGTCTAGATCACGTATTAACAAGTTCCGCAGCACGCGGCCATCGAAAGCCCCCAAGAAAGGCAGGTACGGAGATGAGAAGATCATGTTACCCGCGCCACACCCCACAGATTTATATCTAGACCAAGCCGCCCAAGAACCCACCACTACTCATCCAGGCCATATCTTGGTCATTCTTGACCTCAACGGAACCGTTCTTTACCGGCCCAACAAGAACGCTCAATCAATGACTGCACGCCCATATCTCCAGCCCTTCCTGCGCTACCTCTTCTCCAACTTCAAAGTGATGGTCTGGTCAAGCGCCAGACCGGTCAACGTCAAGTCGCTCGTCGAGCAGTCTTTGGGTAAGGATCTTCGAGCAAAGCTCGTTGCTACTTGGGCCCGCGATACATTCGGTCTATCAGCCACCAATTTCAACCAAAACGTCCAAGTCTACAAAAATTTAAAACTCATTTGGAGCAGAGACCAGATCCAACAACATCATCCTGAATATGCTGCGGGCAAGCGTTTTGGTCAACACAACACCGTTCTCATCGACGATTCTGCCTTGAAGGCAAACGCTCAGCCATATAACTTGCTTGAGATTCCAGAGTTCGAGGCAACACCAGAGCAAATGGAGGGCGATGTTCTGCGTGAAGTCGCTGGCTACTTGGATGCCCTGAGGTACCAAGAAGACGTTTCAAAATTTATCAACAAGCATCCATTCAAGTGCGAAGGCAGGTGGAACTATGATTGGCCAGTCGAGTCAGCAAGTGGAAGCGAGCTGAAGTCTAAGAGTATAGTAAAGGGTAATCATTCAGTTGCAACCACTCCACTTGCAGGGATGACCAACGCCCTCTCATCAATGAACTTGGGGGGTACACAAATAGAGGCTTAGGTGAACTTTGACATCTGTTCCGGCTTCGCATTTGCTACTAGGCTAGTTCGGATACATTAGAGCATATAAGGTGTATCAGCAAATGAACAGGTCGCATGGTTAGCATTATGATACCGGCGCTACGGTATAAATTTGACCCTCAGACCTGAGCGATCAACGTAGAGTATGAAATAGTCAACATCTTATGCGTATTGCCATGACATGCAAACTTCTCTGTCTATAATACCGTTGAGTACTTATTCAACGAATTCATACGACGCAGCCTGTTTTCCTCTTTCATCAAGGCAAGGAATATGTGCAGTAAAAGCACACATGTATTGACTAGAAATCTCCGATGTTCTCCGCATATGGTTCAACCAAGAGAATGGAACTGGTCGTAAAGGCGTGAAAATAATTAATAATTGTATTCCGTCGCTAGAAGAGACTGGATCTTTTTCAAATGGCAAACTGAAACACAACAGTGGGACAGTGGTGTTCTTGCCAATTAAGTGTTCCAAATCTTGCAACTCTCGGCGCGGAACAAAATACCAAATTCCAATTTGATAATCTAACTACCAAAACCACAGACGACATCCAAAAAGAAATCACTTCATGGTCAATACGAGGCTTGAACTCGCGGCCTTGGCGTTTTCTAGCAATTGCTATTAGCACCACGCTCTGACCAACTGAGCTAATCAACCGGCTGAGATGTTCAATAGCGACCTTGAGAAATGCAAAAGAGATATCGAAAATTGAAAAAAAACGGAATGTTCGCTTGAACTCAGTGACACCCTCTATATTTCGCTTGTTGCTGTCAAAAACTGACCTGCGATCCTTTTCGAGGTACAAATTTACTCGAGTTAAGTGGGGCGTGCAAAAACGCTTCGATGGCACACTGAACAAAACGATAAATACCTAGGCAAGATTTGAAGTTATATATTTTCTATGGATACGAGATCACGGGAGATAGTAATGACATGTGTCTTGTGAGACTTTTAGTAATGAATACAAATAAAGGCGTCCTGATCAGTACTTTAGCTGATTTGATGCACTCTGCGGTCATCATACCTATGTAGTTTATAGTAGCAAAGATGATCCCTGTAGCCCCCAACAGCTATAATATTCAGATTGTTCGTAGACTATCATTTTGTGTGGACGGAACATGTCGTCGGGGTTCATTGTCTGCAGCCAGTAGCGACTGCAGAGATTACGTAGCTGTGGCGGGGGAGGGGTACATCGGTAAGGCTGTGAGCTGCAGTTATCTCGACCGAATCGCTACATTTCTCCATAGCGATGGGCCGTTGCTACATACGACCCACAACTCTGATGCTTTATGCCTTTGGTGCGATTTAATCTAAGGGGACCTTGTTATACCGCATACACGACCATTGATAGGGCAGCTACGCATCGAATACCTGTCCAAGCTGCTGCATCATCGCGATCCGTACGTCGAGCGCAGCTGCGCAAACTTCACACATCAATCCTTAAAATGGACACACAGGATACTTCGGGCATATCCGGAGCTTCAAATAAAAGCCTGGACCTTACCAACCGACTGAGTGAGAGTCGGAGCCCGTACGTGCGAGGCCATATGCACAACCCTGTTGCGTGGCAAATATGGGGACCAGAAGCTTTAAGACTTGCAAAGGAATCGAACAGACTGATCTTTATAAGTATCGGCTACGCAGCATGTCATTGGTGTCACGTCATGGAACGTGAATCCTTTGAAAATCAAGAAGTTGCAAAAATCCTCAACGAGAGCTTCATACCCATCAAAATTGATCGCGAAGAGCGCCCCGATGTCGACCGCATATACATGAACTATGTCCAAGCTACTACTGGTGGTGGAGGATGGCCTTTGAATGTATTCATTACTCCTGACCTGGAGCCAATATTTGGTGGGACATACTGGCCAGGCCCAGGCTCGACGATGGCTACAGATAGCCATGCTGGGTTTGTGGGGATTCTAGAAAAGATTCGTGATGTTTGGGAAACCCAACGGCAGCGGTGCCTTGAATCAGCTAAAGAGATTACTGCTCAACTTCGCGATTTTGCGGAAGATGGAAGCATCAGTAGGAAAGATGGTGCAGAGCATGATCACCTGGATCTGGAGCTTCTGGCTGATGCATATGAGGTTCCGTAATACCAAATACTTTTGCTCAATCATAGAAGCTAATACAATTTAGCACTTCAAGAGACGATACGACACAGTTCATGCAGGATTCGGCGGAGCGCCAAAGTTCCCAACTCCCTCGAACTTACATTTCCTTTTGAAACTAAGTTGTTACCCAGAGCAGGTTGCTGAAGTCCTTGGAGTTGAAGACATTACGGAGGCAAGAAACACGGTACTCACGACACTAGACAGGATGAATAGGGGCGGCATACACGATCAGATTGGTAATGGGTTTGCACGGTATTCTGTGACCAAGGACTGGAGCTTACCGCATTTTGAAAAAATGCTCTACGACCAAGCGCAATTGCTGTCAGTTTATCTAGATGCCTATCTTATGACCAAAAGAGCAGACCTACTTGATGTGGTGCATGACATCGCCACGTATCTTACCACGTCCCCTATGCAAGCCGACAAGGGCGGTTTCTTCTCTTCCGAGGATGCTGACTCACTGTACCGTGCAGCAGATAAAGAAAAGCGAGAGGGTGCCTTTTATGTGTGGACATTGAAAGAATTTCAAGAGATTCTAGGAGACCGAGATGCTGAGATCCTCGCGAAATACTACAATGTGAAGGACGAAGGGAATGTTGCGCCCGAACACGATGCACACGACGAGTTAATCAACCAGAATGTACTTGCAATCAACGAGTGTACCTCTACAGACCTTGCGAAGCAATTCGCTCTCTCAGAAGAGGAGATTGGGAAGGTATTACAGAGTGGTCGGCAAAAGCTGCTAGACCACAGAAACAAGGAACGGCCTCGACCAGCACTGGACGATAAGATTGTAGTATCATGGAACGGCCTAGCGATTGGAGCATTGGCTCGAACGGCTGCTGCGCTATTATCACAAGACCCGAAAAGATCGGCAAGATACTTGGCTACAGCAGAGAAGGCGGCAGGCTTTATCCAGAGAGAGCTTTATAGCCCCTCGTCTAAGACTCTGACACGCGTCTACCGTGAAGGCCCAGGCGACGCGCCCGGCTTCGCAGACGACTATGCCTATCTGATTGACGGTCTCATCACTCTCTATGAGACTACTTTTGACGATTCCTATCTCCAATGGGCGGACGATCTTCAACGGACACAGCTGAAGCTTTTCTGGGACAAGGAACATCTTGGCTTCTTCTCGACGCCCGAGGGCCAGACAGATCTTATCATGCGGTTGAAAGACGGCATGGATAGCGCTGAGCCAGGGACAAATGGGGTTTCAGCGCGGAATCTAGATCGATTAGGTGGTTTGTTGGAAGACGAAGAGTACACGAGGCGGGCAAGAGATACGGCGAGTGCATTTGAGGCGGAAATGATGCAACATCCATTTCTCTTTCCAAGTATGATGGACGTAGTGGTTGCGGGTAAACTTGGCGGACGGCATATTGTGATTACTGGGACAGGCGAAGGTGTGGATGGATGGCTCACACGGTATCGTGAGCAAGCGACCGGGCTGAATACTGTCAGCCGTATTGGGGTGGAAACGGGCGGCTGGCTGAAACAGCGCAATGGACTGATCAAGAGCATGGATGCTAGTCGAGAGGGAATCATGGTATGTGAAAAGGGGGCTTGCAGAGAAGAGTTGGGCATGGACATGGGGAGGGTGAAAGATGCAGTTCCGCAGGTGTAGTGTAATGTAGTGTAGTGCATCAAGATAGTAATTGTGGGTGGAAATTTGACAGGTGTTTTGGGGCAGTAACTGTCGGTACAAATGACAGAATGAAGCAGGTGGACGGATGACGGTGAACAGGTTAGTCACAAGTGAATTCTGCATTTATGGGCATGCCAAGGATTGAAGATTTGCAATAATTAGACGGTTATTCATGTCTCAAAGAATGTCGATCAAGTGGTGATTACATTGCGCTACTAAGAATTTGGGAGGGGCGTCCGTGGCCAAGAAAGGCGAAAGGCGAAAGGCGTGAAAGTGGCACGTGACTGGGGCACAGAGGCAAAGAGGCACAGGTTGGGTAAATGTTTCTATGTCTGGGGCGATAATGGTATCGAGAGGCGGAGAGTGGGCGTGGCAGGGTGTAGAGGGCGTCAAGTGTTTCAAGCGTTTGAAGCAAAAGGCGATTAACGTGGTGCAATGGCAGGGCAGGGATTACCTCTTGCTTACTTGTCTTGTTCTTGTCCTGCCCGATGCCCCGAGCACATGATGTTGAGGTGGCACGGGGAAATGAAGGAGGCACGGCAAGGTGAATGACACTAGTATGTTTTTAGATGTAGCGCGCTTGTGCCTGCTAAGGAACCAGTCAACGTCGACGACGAGACGACCAACTGCCTAATCCCAGTGTCGATCATGCACTTTGCTCCTGCTCATTGGCCCATAATCACCCGTACTTACAACTTACATCAACATGCGACTGCCTGTGCCCCTCCCTTCATCATAAACCCAACTACCTACCCATACCATAGTTCCGCTGTGCCACCTACTAGCTGGTGCTGACCCACATCTGCTTGTAGAAACATTTTAATCAAAAATAAAAATAAAAATAAAAATAAAAAATAAGAAGTAAAAAGTTTCTTGCTTTCAAATAAAGTCTTTGTTTGCATTGTTCGTTGCTTCTACTTCTGTACGTACGTACCTCTTCATTTTATTTTACTTTGCCTGAACCATAACTTACCGTGTACACCAATAAAGGACGCCTTTGTACCACCTCCCCCTTGGCCTCCTCCCCACCCCATAATTGATCAACTACGCCACTGCCTTGCAGACCTCGCACTATTACAGGATCGTGGGGTCGAGATTGGCCATTTGGCCGTTTGGCCGTTTGCGGCGGCCAACGAATTTCCGCTGTAGCAGTCGCGGCCCCAGCTTGAGATGACTTGCTCCTGCCTCATTTTACGCCGTGTTTGAAATCTTATCCTCCACACGTTTCCTTCATAAACATCCTCTTCCGCCCTGGCCTTTCCATTTCCTCATCGCTTTGATCAGCCACCCCCCTCCCCCACATTCCTTTCAATCGCAGCCTTCCCTTGTGCAGCTTGTCTGAACAGGATTACAATCGTTACCTTAGTTGCCACCGACTACAGCTACACTTCTTTGTTTCCACTCCGTCCGGCCTGTACTCAACCATACAGACTGTTCCGTTGAGAGTCCGTCATGTAGGTCAACCCCTCTTCACCATCACTTCACCCCACCCCAGCCTTGGATTGTGGCAACATTGTTGGTTTCATAAATTTCACCCTCTTCTTCTTTTTCCTTCTGCTTCTCTCCACCATCTCAATACAGTTCTAACGCTTTGCGCAGCTATTCACGACTGATACCCACGTTGAACCAATCATCTTTGAACACTAACCTTCATTATCATCACATCTACCCTCTTTGAACAGGGCACGTCAATCATGCGTTCTTCTCTTCTTCTCAGCTCTGCTCTCGCTCTGGGCGCCCTGGCAAGGCCCACGTGAATGAGCATTTGCACAAACGCTTCATCGTCACCGAGATGGAGATAGAAGTCGTCACTGTGATTGTAACCATCACGGCTGAGCCTGGCCAGACAATGTCTACCTCATCTTGGCTGTCCACTGTTGCTATCCCAACTT